CTCTTTGTTTAAACAAACTGCACATGCAATGGCAGAACTTTATTTTCTGTGTGATCTTTGGTTTAGACCCGGTTTAGTGGTTTAGTCCTGGTTTAGTCCTGGTTTAGTCCTGGTTTAGTTTAGACCTGGTTTAGTCCTGGTTTAGTCCTGGTTTAGTCCTGGTCCTGGTTCAGACCTTGGTTTAGTCTTGGTTTAGTCTGGTTTAGTCCTGGTTTAGTCCTGGTTTAGTCCTGGTTTAGTCCTGATTTAGTCCTGGTTTAGTCCTGATTTAGTCTTGGTTTAAACCCGGTTTAGTCCTGGTTTAGTCCCAATTTAGTCCTGGTTTAGTCCTGATTTAGTCCTGGTTTAGTCCTGATTTAGTCCTGGTTTAGTCCTGGTTTAGTCCTGGTTTAGTCCTGGTTTAGTCCTGGTTTAGTCCTGTTTAGTCCTGGTTTAGTCCTGTTTAGTCTTGGTTTAGTCCTGGTCTAGTACTTGGTTTAGTCCTGGTTTACTGGTTTACCTGGTTTCAGACCTGGTTTAGATTTAGACCCGGTTTAGTCCTGGTTCAGCAGTTACCGCGGTGACACAAACACGAGCGAACACAGACCGAAAAAGTTGAACATCAAGATCAAGTCAAGATCGTCTGAAAACTCAAAAAAATTAAATAAAATAAAATAAAACAGAAAAGTGATTTAAAGTCGTTTTCAGGAGCCCTGTGTCGGTCCGAGCGTCGGGGTTGGAGTTCAGATCAGATTGAGTTAAAATAAAACTCAGATTAAAGTCGAACTTGAGTCTCAGAGTTTCAGACGGAGCAGTGCCTCCTGTTAGCGTCGCACCAAGAAAAACAACAGAACAAAGCTCGTCTCACGTTGGCGCGATTTTCATCCTCGTTTCATCGGCGTAACACTGCGGTTTGGAACTCGCGATGGTTTTTATCAGTAGAAAATAACGCTAAAAACGACGCTGGACGTTTTTTGTGTAAACGTGAGAAAATTTGGCGCGTTTTGTTTGGAAAATTTGGCACAAAATCATCGCCGACGTTTTCGAACCGACTTTGGCGAAACGTGAGCCTCCGTTTCCACGACACAAACGAACACCGACGCCGACTTTCAATCGTCACTTTCCGATTCTAAATATTCGGTCGCAGTTGTTTTTTTTTTTTGTTTTTTTTAACGTCACTTTTCGGCGGAGGGTTCGTCGCCGGCTCGTTTCCACGGAGACGGAGTTCTGGCTTTGGGCTGGAATGTTCCGCAGTGTGACTTTAAACAGCTCCACTTTACTTTTACTCAATTCCGGGAGGTTTTATCGCTCAAAGATCCCGATAAAAACAAGACATCGTGACCGTGAGCGGGGGTCGTCGCCTCTCCGCAGACCTGACCCGGATCTTCACGTCAGGTCCGGTTTGGTCTCCGTGGAGAAAGACAGTTTTAATGCCGTACTGCGGAACATTCCAGACAAAGCAACAACATCTCCACGGAGAAAACGCAGCTTAAAGTTCGCTCTGGTTCCGTAAAGTAAATTCTCCGTTTCATTTTTCCCACAGATTTTTCGGAAATTTCAAATATTACGGGCGAACGAAGATCCGTAAATCTTGAGAATAAGAGATGAAAAATTCCTCAAACGTGAATCCAAATAAACTTCAGAGTCAGAGAGAAAAAAACGAGAAGAACCTGGAGAAACATCTGAGGAGAACAACTCTGATTTAAGAACTTTGCGGTTTTTAAAAGTTTCAGAAACAGATTTTAAATAAAGTGTCGGTTCTGTTCTTTTGGTCGTTAGTTCCAGAGCCGATCGACCCAGAGTTTTCACACTTTTAATGTTTTTTTTTTTTTTTTTGTGGGAAAGTTTATGGGAAAAACGAACGGGAGTTTTATTTCCAGACCAGAGGCGGCGCCGTTGAGCTCCACGGGTTTCGTCGCCGGCGTTTCCCTCGGCAAAAACCTTTTCCGAAACTTCCTAAACTCGGCGTCTGCGCTCCGTGTCCGGACTCGACCCGTTCCTCAGACGCACTGCGGAACTTTTCTGTTCTGCCGCCTGCTCGTTGCCGTGGAGATGTGACCGCTTCGCCCAGAACGTCACAGGATTAAACGTCTAAATCTAGCGTTTTAATTTCACGGCGGGTCTCCTGGGGTCGGCCTCTCCGCAGATCTGACCCGTACCTTCGCCCGGTGACGTCTCCACGGAGATGTGGAATGCGTTTAACGTCGCACTGCGGAACATTCCGGCCCAAAGCGATGACATCTCCGCAGTAACAAACGCGCCCTGGACCCTCTGCCAGTTAAATTCCCGCAGCGCAGCTTTAAACAGAACGACGACACCGGCTCGTTTCTACGGAGACGGAGTTACTGCTTTGGGCCGGAATGTTCCGCAGTGTGACTTTAAACGGCCCCGCTTTACTTTTACTCAATCACAGGTGCAGGTTTTACGGCTCAAAAACACCAAGATCCGACCTGGAACTGTGTCTGGTTTGGTTTCCATGGAGACAGAAAGGTTTTAATGCCGCACTGTGGAACATTCCCGACAAAGCGACGACATCTCCACGGAGACGGCGGCGTCTGACGGAGCCTCCAGCAGAAAAGTTACACAGTTTATCTTTAAAATAAATATAAAACACTTTTATTTTCACAGCAGCTCGACATGAAAAATAAAAACAGTAAAAGGGAAAACTGTAAAGCCGCACTACGGGACTTTTCTTGTGTGTCGATACGGTTTTCCAACGATCCGATCTGTGTCACGATCAGGGCTGGGATCGTTAAGAACTCACCGATACGATACTCAGGCCCCGATACGATACACTTTTCGATACAGTGCGCTTTCGATTCAATACGATTTGATACGATATATTTCAAGTCGATTCGATACGATTCAGTAAAAAACTAAGACTAAATCGTGGCTCTGACACTAAAAGTCGACTAAGTTTGTGCAAAGTTCAGATGAAAAACACAGTTTTACTCAAAACTGTGAAAATGTGAACACAACTGTAGCTCTTACACAAAATTATTTAGTAAAATAAACC